GGTAGGATTGCATAGAACTGTAACAGCTTTGAATGCTAAAGTTAAAAGGGTTAATACATATCTGTCATCATTTCAAAAGTGCCAAAGGTAGGAGGTAACTTTAGGAGACCTGGATTATTTTACCTGAAAGTTTGTTTGCAAGATTTTTAACAAAGCAAATTTTAGGGTTGGGCTAGAGGTAACTTATTTAGATTCCTTAGAACCATGGATGTCCCAAACTAACCTGCCAGTTTCTTGACTTGCTAATAATTGCTAATGCCAATACAAATATAAACAGGGGCAAGAGTTTTCCACCCTTTTCCCGTAATTTGCTTTCTGCACCTGTAGAAAGACATAGGGACACACAATTGACTCATATTCTTCAGCTACAATGGGGTTTTGTCCAGTTGTCTAGAAGGTAAGTTCTTCCCTTCCACAGCACACACATAAGTGTTCCATGGGCCACCAATCATAGCTTCCATGTGGAGCAGATTGTGAAATACACCACCAGTTGGGGCCAATCTAAACTGGCCATATTCTTGTGACCCAGTTGTCCATATTTACCTGGAATAAATATAAAAACAAATGCCCTCTGCCATTCCCTCTCACTAATCTCACAGCCCCTGTTACTTCTAGGTAAATGACTCACATCCCTCCACCCCCAATCCCCTAACAGGAGAGATAACTGCAAGTTATAACTGGTAACTCTGGAAAATCTAAAAACCCAACTATTCCAGTGGTTAGAAGGACTTGAAAACACCTGGGAAAAGCCAAAGGGTTCTATGTGCCACTCCTGAAAGGATGGCCATTCTAGCCTCACTCTAATGTCTCCTGTTTTTTTGTTTTGTTTTGTTTTGCTTTTTGGCCAGGCAATGGGGTTAAGTGACTTGCCCAGGGTCACACAGCTAGTAAGTGTTATGTGTCTGAGGCTGGATTTGAACTCAGGTCCTCTTGAAGCCAGGGCTGGTGCTCTATCCACTGTGCCACCTAGCTGCCCCTCTAATGCCCCTTGAAGACAGATACACACAGAAGTGCCTGCTGGATCTGAGGTTCTTGCCTTTTATCAGACATTTTCCTCAGTGCTCCTGGGGACTATGCAGTCTTCAGGGCCAGAAAACTTATCACTGGACCTCCTAGATCCCCCTCCCTATTTAAAAACACTGATCTTCACCCCTTCATCTTTGTTATTGTGGGAACGAATTCTTCCAACACTCCTTCCCCTGACTTTCCTACAGGTAATGTTATTTACCCCAGTCCCAATTATAGAGTTCACCATCTCCTATACTTGACACAACAAAAGTGAGACAGTCAACACACCCTCCCTTGTAAAGGCATTTAACAACCAGCTAAAAGTTAGTTCCCTTTGAAGAACTTGAGAATCATGTACATGGACAAGATGCCAAGAAGTTATGGAACAGGTGAGTTCTCACTGGCCAACAGTGAACAGATCAAGCCTGGGTGTAGAGCTGAGTTGGGGCTTTGTTTGCTGTGGAGGAAAATTGCTGGGGGGGGTGCTCAGTCCTATAAGAGGGCCTTACCCTTACTGGCAGCCACTAATCAGCGTTGCTTATTATCCTATATTTACGTGTCACCACAGCTGTGTGTTGGGATCCACAGCTGGCCTTGCTGACCTCTGAACCACTGGGAAGCTCCAGGAATGCGGGAAAGGCTGAATTGATGTGAACTGACCATGGTCTCCATCCCCATTCTTGGCTGATATCGTTGCTTCAGGACTACACAAGTAGAGCCCAGAAGCTTAGGGACAACAAGCAATTCCCACTTTACTGAGTAGATCAATGGCATAAGCAGTATAGTTTCTGCCATGGACTCATAAGGGGGCTGTGTAAATTTTGTTGTGAGAGGCTGGCTAGGGATGCTATAATGACAGGCACCTCAAAGGACCAGAATGAAAGAAACAAGAGAGAGGGGCCAAATACTAAAATGTAACCACTTGCCTCCTGCCATCATCTTCTCTCTTGGAAGGCAATGCAGGTTGCCCAGATTCACTCCAGCCAGACATAGAGACCAGCCTCTGGGGGAAAAAAAAGCTCTTTAGAGTTAGCACTATAAAGTAAATGGAACTACATACCTTCTCATCAGGGTGGTGGTGGGCCCTAGCTGCCATCAGTTAGTCAAGCATTTGTTAAGCCTTGACTATGTGCCAGGCATTGTGCCAAGTGCTAAGGATACAAAGAAAAGCAAAAATACTGCTGACCCCATCCTCAAGGAACACAAATTCTAATGGAGTAGACAACATTGCAAACAGACTTGTATATACAAGATATATTTAGTGTAAATGAAAGGCAGTATCAGAGGGAATGCATTAGCAGTTGGTGGACCAGGAAAGACCTCCTAAAGAAGGTGGGATTTAGGCTGAGTCTCCACAGAAGTCAGGAGGTGGAGGTGAGAAGGAAAAGCATTCCAGGCATGGGAGGCAGCCAATGATAAAGAAGAGCATTGAGAGATGGATTGTCCTGTCGGAGGAGGCTACTGGAGCTAGATCTTAGAGGTTAAAATGCCAAACAGCACTTGATATTTGGTTCTGGAGGTAACAGGGAGCCAGTGGAGTTTAGGGGTGGTGTGACTAGACTAGCAATTTAGGACAAATCACCTTGGCAGCTGAAGCATGAAAGGCTTACTCTGATGCGGTGAGGCCCCAGTTGAGATTATGTAACACAAATTTCTAGTGAGCCCAGGGTCAAGGACAGGCAGGAAAGAAGGAACTAAAAAGCATTTATTAACCCTTCTATGTGCCAGGTACTGTGCTTAGCAGTTGAAAACAATCTCACATGACTCTCACAATACCCTTGGCAGATACGTGCTATTATTAACTCCATTTTACTGTTGAAGAAACTGGGGCAGACAGCATTAAGTGACTTACCTAGGGTCACACGACTATTTAAGTGGCTGAGGCTGAATCTGAACTCAGGTGCTCTACCCACTGCACCACCTAGCTGCCTAAAACATTTAATGCATTCCACAATCATTTATGAATTTATTCAACGAACATTTACTGGCAGTCAATATGGGCAGAGCATTGTGCTCAGTGGGAATGACTGTGGCACGTGAGATGAGTTGCCAAAGACCAAGACAAAGATAGATAAAGATGGGAAAAGAATCCAACTGAGTGGGAGGCTGGAACCTGTAGGCTGGAAGGAGTGGCCTTCTCCTATACCAGGAGGCTATACAACTCTATTCACAAGTACTGAAGTACTAAGTAGGTCCTTGAGAGGAGAAGGCATAACTTAACATCTTTGTATCCCTCACAGTAGACCACAATGACTCTAACCCTAAATGTTACCTACTTAAACACTTAATTGATCATGAGACCTGGGCAACACCCCTTTTCCAGGGCCCTGTCCAGTGGCTTACTACCTCTCAACACCCAAAGACATCTATAACTGGAACGTGAGAAGGGGCCCAAGCTCCCAAACGAGCAAGGATAAGGAAGCCAGCTCACCACTCATATAGAGAGAATGCCACTCACCAGCTACAACTTAGGCCATGGCTAGGCCCTGAAGTGCCTCCCCCTGCCCAGGCTTCAGCTCTGCCTCTAGGCCCTCATGGCCCACATGACCAAGTCCGAACAAAGAGAGACAGGCGCTGGGGTTTCAGAGCTCTCTGCTCAGGGCTGCCCACTTCAGGCTCAAGGCCCCACCCTGACCAGATTTCCTCCACTTACCTGCCGGTGCCCCACATGTACACCTGCCCCATTCCATCCAGCAGCAGGGCGTGCTCTGCCCCCAGCACCTGCTGGCTGGCCTTCAGCTCAGAGGACAGGTGCTAGGAAAAAGGCTGCCTGGGGCTCACATACCACTCAGGCTCGGGAACTAAGGGTAGCAAAGCAGGTCTGGGGGCATGCCCCACGACCTCCAGCCTGGTCACTAGACCCAGGTTCCTCCTCCCAGTCTCCTTGCTGCAGGATCTGGTGTGTCCACAGGGGGTCCCCTTGCAGCCCAGGCCTGCAGCTCCACTGGGTTCCCTCCACCTCCATGCACAACACGAGCAGATGCTGCTCTGAGGCCAGCCAGTCTCCGCAGCTGCAGAGCTGGCTGCTCCCAGAGCCCCACAGCACTAGGCACCTATCTCCTGGAAAGGAAGAAACATCTGTGGCTGGGGCTAGAGGCTGGGGGTTGTACACTGAAGATGGGGTGTGGGCATGCGCTCCACTGGGCCTTCTGGGTTGTGAACACTGGCATGGAGTTGTGTGCATTGAGATGGGGTGTGTGTGTATGTATGCTGTACAAATGAAAGTTAAAGAACTCTACAGGCAGAGGTTTCTCCAGAAAATTATGACACCTGCAGACTTGTCTGTTCCCAAAGATCCATCTATCCCAACTTGTGATGGTCACCCTGCAACATCACCATTACTTCCTATTTCTCTTCTAAAACCTAAATGTGAACTGGAACTACCCCCATGTTACATCTGCTCTTCACCCGGACCCTCCAGATATAAAACCTCAGAAATGACTATTTTGGGATTTACTAGATGAACTGATAAAAACTACCAGTTTAGCATCAGACAACAGTCAGCGTTTTTTCCAAGAAACCTGTTTTGCATTTGTATTAACACAGTAACAAGTGCAACAAATCGATAGTTTCTGTGATCAAATATGACTTGAAAGTACAGGTCCAGCTAAGGACTTGCTTGTCAGAAGCCAGCTGTCCACAAGAAGGTTATTTCCCACCCAAACTTTGTGTGAAAGTTAATAGGAAATCTGGGAACTTTCCAGGCTTTCACTCACCAAAAATGGTGTGGAACCAAAGTGATGTACATATATGTGTGTGATGGAGTTTTGTGCCCTGGGATAGAAGGGGCCATGCTCCAGGATGGAGGTGGGAGTACTGGGAGGGGAAGTGGTGTGTGCACAAGGATGAAATTGTAAGCACTGAGGGGTGTGTGTGTGTGTGTGTGTGTGTGTGTGTATGTGTGTGTGTGTGTGTACACACGCAAGGGGAGAGGGGTGTCTATCACTGAACTTCACTGGGATGGAATTGTGCACAGGAGAAGTTGCACAGGAATGGGGGGAGTGGGAGGCTGTGTGCAGGGATGGGGAGGAAGCTCTGGAGCTGCAAGACTCAAGAAGGTAAGGGGCCTTGGAAGGATGAGGACAGGGAGGGAAGGGGTGACGAGGGAAAAGGCATGGGGGACATGAAAGCAATGAAGTGGAAGAAGGAGGAGGAGGAGGACAAGGAGAATGGGAAGGAGAAAGGAGTGAGAGGAAAAAGAGGAAGGGGAGGAGGAGGGGGAAAGGAGTCCTGAAGAGGAGAAGAGTAGAGAAGAGAAGGGAGAGAAGAGGAGGGGCAAAAGGAGTTGGAAAGGAAGAGGAGGTAGAAGGGGAAAGAGAACTAGGGAGGGGGGAAGTGGATGGGGAAAGGAGGACAGGGAGGAGGAGAGAAGGGAAGGAGGGTGTAGAGCCCTCCCCAAAGCATTTTGAGCCCCCAAGACCTGAGAAAGGCCTAAACCCTGGATTGGCCAATCAGGAGGAAGACATTTTGGCCCAATCTGAACTTAACCTACCATAACGCTGTGTGTGTTCTGGCATGAGAGACATGCTTTGCTCTGCTCTCTGAGTGACCTCAAAATGCTCCTTCCTGTGTCAGCAACTACAAGGTCGGATGAAGCTGACCAGGAGCATTCTTCCATTTATGACCATCAAGGACAAGGGGCCTTGAACCGGACACCATCTTGAATAATGGGACTTTTCTTATCTTGTTATTTTATGGACACATTATGCTACATTGTGTTATGTTAATGGTAAAAGAAACACAGACATCCTGGATCTATAATTTCAATTGACACCTGGACATTCTCTTATTTTATTGTATTTACAATATATCCACTTAAGAAATTCCTTTCTTATATTATGGTTAACACATATGGAGACTATAATTTTGTCTGACACCAGCATCCTGAGCCAGGAAGGGAGAGGGGGGGGTTAGGGTCTAAAGATACAAAATCCCTTTCATATGTCCATCCTTGCGTTCATTGTCTCCAATGAACTTCCATGCATATCTGTATATGCATGTTCCACAAGCTTTGAGATAAATAAACACACTCAGCCTAATTTTGTTTGTCTTTCTTAGAAGGAATTCAATAAAGGTAGATAAGGGGCAAAAGGAAAAGAGGGAAAAGAGAAGGCAGGGAGAAGGGGGAAGAGAACTAGGTAAGAGGTGAGGGGAAAGGAGAACTAGGGAGAACTGCCCATCCCCTGCTCCTCCTCCTGCACCCCCTCACCCAATCCCCTCCCCGCCTCTTCCCCACTACATTTTCCTCTCCCCCACCTCTCCTCCTCACCCTTCTTCCCCCTCCCACACCCCTCCTTTCCTCCCCCCCCCCATTCTCTCTCCTACACTCCTCCTCCTCCTCCTCCTCCTCCCTCGCCTCCCCTCCCGCAAAAACCCTGTTCCCCTTCCCTCAAACTTCCTCCACCTCCCCTCCTACCTCACCCCTCATCCCCGACCCTTCCTCCCCCTACTCCTCCCAAAATCTTTACCACCCCTCCTCCCCCTTCCCCTCCCATTTCCCCTCCCCAACCCCTCCCTTCGCCCCATTGCTTCCCCCCTCCCTCACCCCTTTGCCCCTCCCCATCCCTTCCTTCTACCCCCTCCTCCCTTTAGCCCCTACCCAAAACTTTCCCCTTCCCCCTCCCCCCACCCGTTTACCTCTCCCCTCCCCCACATTTCCACCCCACCCCTTCCCCCTCTCCCCTTTGCTCCTCCCCCTGCCCCACCCTTTCACACACCCACACCATCTTGCCCCCCCAAACCTTTGTCCCTCCCCTCCCCACATTTTACCACACCCCTTTGCCCCACCCCCATCCCCCACCCTTTCCCCTCCCCCACCCTTTTACACCTCCCCCCCCACATTTCTGCCCCACCCCTTTCTCCCCACCCTCACCCCTTTGGCCCTCCCCCGCCCCTGCCCCACCCTTTCATCCCTCTCCCACCCCAATCTTTTGCCCCTCCCCAAACCTTTTCCCCTCCCCCTCCCTTTGGCCCTTCCCCCACACTTATACCCCTCCCTATATTTTCGCCCCTCCCCCACCCCCACACTTTTACCACACCCTTTTGCCCCTCCCTCACCCTTAACTCCTCCCGCTCCCCTTCCCCCACCATTTTACCCCTCCTCCCAGCCTTTCTCCCTCCCCATGCCTCCCCTCCCCCACCCTTTCTCCCACCCCCACCATTTCACTCCTTCCCCAACACCACTTCACCCCTCCCCCCAACCTTTTAGAGGGGGGAGAAGGAGAGGGGAGGTGGAGAAGGGGTGGGGTGGGGGATGGAGGAAGGAGAGTGGGGGAGGTGATTGGCTCAAGGGTGGATGAGAGGGGAGAAGGAGGGTTGGGGGAGGAAGGAAGAGGAGTGGGGGAGGGTGGAGGGTGGGGAAAGTGAGGGAGGGGAAGGGGCAAAAGGGTGGGAGGGGTCCCATGCTCCCTCCCTCTTCCTTCTCCACCCATTTGCGCCACCCCCACTCTTTCCCATCCCTTATCCCTCCCCTTCCCCCACCACCCTCTCTCCTCTCCCTCCCATACCCCCATTTTTTTTAAGGTTCATGATATGCTGAAACCTCCAATTGGGAGTGAAGTGGGACAGGATAATTGTCAGAGAACTAAAACAGTTACATGTTTATACTATGAAGATACTATAATGTATATAATGTGAATATACTATCATAATACAAACATGTAAATAATACAAATATTATAACAACACAAATAAATTAGACGAAACTAGGCCCCACCTAACCTCAAACCTAAAACCTCAACTTCAGAATCTGAGGGTTTGCTGTACCAGGTTCCAAGGCAGGCCAGATCAGGTAAAGAACTATATTAGTTGGTTGAAGAACACAACAAAGACCAGTACTAGTAGATAAAAAGTTAACATTTTTTTGGTGAGGTCTAGTCATGTGATTTCATTGGTTTAGGAAAAAACCAATGAGGAAACTTCTGACAGAATGATTGTTCTATGATGTTCTAAGAACACAAGTGACTTGCCCAGGTCACATAGTTATTAAGTGTTTAAGATAGCATTTAAACTCAGATCTTTTTGATTTTTTAAGTCCATTACTCTGTCTACTAGGAAGGAGGGAAGTAAGCATGTATTTGCCTGCTATGGCCTACTATATCCCAGACACTGTGCTAAGTGCTTTACTAATATCTCATTTGATCGTCTCAAGAACCTTGGGAGGTGGGTGCTATTATTATCCACATTTTACAGAGGAGGAAAACGAGACAGACAGAGATTCACTAACTTGCCCAGAACAACACAGCCAGTGTCTGAGGCTGAATTTGAGCTTGGGTCTTCCTGACTTCAGGCCCAACTCTATGTCATGCTGCCTCTCTAAATTAGAATTCAAATATAAAATTAAAATGGGTGAAGCCAGAATAATAAATAGTACAGATTAAATAATATGTAGGGATAAAAGAAGTCTGATGCTATATTTGAAATGCTCTCTTTGCTCTTCACTAGGAGGAACTAAGTAATGTCAGGGTACATAGGTGAGATTAACCTGGAAGTTAGCACCAAATCCTATTATTGCCTGACCTAAAGGCAATCGTTTCCCCTGTTTTCTTAAGTGTTAGAAGTGGTATAATTGTGGAAAAGATTGGCTCTGATTGTATGGGCATTGGAGTCTGTCATCCCTGTCAGCTGTCATCTGATATCACTCCTCCCCTCCCACTCTCACTTCTGACCTCATCATTCAGCTGAAACCACTTTGTCTAAAGTTACCAATGATCTCCTAATTGCCAAATCTAATGGCCTTTTCTCTATCCTCATCCTTCTTGCCATCTCTGCAGCCTTTGACATTGTCAATCACCTCCTGGATATTCCTTCCTCTCTGTATTTTCCTGACAGTAAGAGTTTTCTCTTACCTGTCTGGCTGTTCCTTCACACTCTGCTGAGCCTTTATTCATGTCCTACCTATTAATTAGTTGTCCTCCAAGGATCTGTCCTAGGCTCTCTTATCTTTTCTCTCTACACTCTCTCACTTGGTCATCTCAGCAGCTCCAATGAGTTCAATTACCATCCTTCCAGATGGTTCTAAGATCTAGTTGCATAACTTTAACATCTTTCTTGATCTCTCCAGTCCTCATCTTCACCCAATGTCATTTGCCTATTGGACGTCTTAAACTCAACATATCCAAAACAGAGCTCTTCATCTTTCTCTTCAAATGTATCCCTCTTCCAGACTTTTTCACTGCTGTCAAGAGCAACAATATTCTCCCAGTCACCACTCTTGCAACTTTGGTGTCATCCTTGACTCCTCACTCTCACTCACCTTACATATCCAATAAGTTGCTAAATTTTATCACTTCTATTTCCACAATATCTCTTATATATGACCCTATCATCCCCCATTCCACTTACACAGCCACCTTCCTAGTTTAAGCCCCATCACTTTTTGCCCAGAAAACTGAAATAGTCTTCTTTTAAATTTTTTAAAAATTAACTTTCATTTTCAACATTCACTTCCATAAGATTTTGAATTCTAAATTTTCTCCCCCTCTCTCCTGTCCAAGATGGTGTGCAATCTGATATAGGCTCTAACATATACATTTATATTGAACGTATTTTCACATTAGTCAGTTGTAAAGAAGAATTAGAACCAATTTTGTGGAAGAACCACAAGAAAGAAGAAATAACCAAAAAAAGAGAGCAAATAGTATTCCTTTGATCTGCATTCAGACTCCATAGTTCCTTCTCTGGATGTAGACAGACAGCATTTTCCATCATGAGTCTGTTGGAGTTGTCTTAGATCCTCGTATTGCTGAGAAGAGCCAAGTTTATCAAAGTTAGTCATTGCACAATGTTGCTGTTACTGTGTACATTGTTCTCCTGGCTCTGCTCACTTCACTCAGCATCACTTCATGTAATTCTTTCCAGGTTTTTCTGAAGTCCACTTGTTCATCATTTTTATGGAACAGTAGTGTTCCATTACATTCATATACCACAATTTGTTCAGCCATTCCCAAATTGATGGGCATCCCCTCAATTTCCAATTCTTGGCCACCACAAAAAGAGCCACTATAAATATTTTTGTACATGTGGGTCCTTTCCCCATTTGTATGATCTCTTTGGGATG